GAATTCAAGAAACATATTGTTGTTTTTTTTAGCTCTATATTCGTTGCACAGCAATGATGCCTTTTGCTCAAGTTAGCCCAAGTAGAACATCTATATCCTCTCTGGATGATTGAATAGGAGTAATGAAGCTTGCATGGAATGTGCCCTCTCCCCACAGCAGAAAACATTGGGATCTTGTCAAGTTGTTTTTGTCCAAAAGCACTATAATATCAAGGTCTTTTGAATGCTTCTGAGAGACGGACAGGGAGAAACAGAGAGAGAAAGGGAGAGTGCAGGAAAGAGAAAGTGTATGTGTGTGTTTATGGAGCATAGGATCGTCTCAGACTGCCAGCTACTGGAACTAATTACATTTTCGTCGGTGGACTCACAGGGAAAACATTTATTGATATGTGCAAACTGAGTATAAGCAGTTAATCTTTAGCATTTAGGCCCTGTGTCATCACACCCTGCAGCGTTCACTCGAGGCTGCACACAGGGAGATTGGGAAGGACTATAATAAAGTATTTCCCTGCAGTAAAACTTAAAAGTCTTGGCCTAGAGGTGGGGCTGATTAAATACTACAGGAGCAGCAACCGAGTGCGGTGATGCTTGCAGTGTGAAGTGTATAAACTGACAATAAGAGTGAGCAGAGCCTTGCCAGCCAACTCTTTTTTTAAGACTACATTGATTATATGTTGCAGTGAGTCAATCCCACTAACACAAAAGTTCACAAAAGGCATCTCAGCTTTTCAGAAAATCCACTGGAATTACTTTTGACCTACAATATGACACTGTAAGATCCTGGTTGAACTAAGTAATAATCCCCTGACTTTCCTTGATGAGATCAACAAAGAAACTAAAAACATGAGCTCCATGGTGGAGGTTCAAATACATCTATACATTTATTGTTTGTTTGTTTATTTGTTTTATTGGCACGTTTATGGGAAAATCACTGGCTCAATTTACATGATATAAAACCTGGTTAAAGAGTGTAGCGTTGGCTGAGGAAGAACCCATTTAATGTTGGAGCAGATACAAATAACTGTGCGGCACACACACACTTTGACTATAAACATTACAAGAGCATGTTTTTGTTGCTGTTCGTCCTTTACTGATCTTTATTTACATTTTGTAACGCTGCGCATGCAGTAGGCGTTGGATGGAAATGCCGGAGAACATCAACGGTTTTGAAAACTTCTGTCACATAGTGCAAATCTTCTCAATAAAACATATTTGCTGATGTTTTTTTGAGTCTTCTGGCCAATCAGAATAAAGATTGTGTCCGGAAGTCCCCACGGAGAATAACTTTGAGGTAGAACTATTCTTTATACATCTATGAGTACATATTCAGATAAAAATGAACACGTAATGAAATATGACCCCCGGTTTGATGATTGACAGGTCACAGAACAATAGGAGCTATCTACCCTTACCCACAATTGAAAGTCATTCACACAGACTCTCTCCTCTTTACTCTTCTCTCTGTGTGGAGCAGCAAGCTGTCAGAACGAAGTGAAACACAAACAATGGCATCAAATATTATTGAATATGTCGGGTAGTAATAGATTTAGTTATTTTCTTCTCAGAGTGTACCAGAATGCATAGTTCATATGTTAGTATTTCAAAAAATCTCCTGGAGGGAGAATCCCCCCAGACCCCCTGCTGGGGTTGGGTTCTCAACATGACACGTTTTCACTTGTGGTGAATTTGCAGGATTGGCTCCAAGTCTGCCTTTTTATTGAATAAAAGTCAAGTGTGCCTTTTTTTGTTATACAGTTCAACTTTGATTCTAGAAACTTAATGACCATCATCAGATTAAACTTTCTTTAAAAGCATACTTTAGTTCTGTGAAGGGATATAAGGATATATTCCCTGTACTTCACTTTAATTACAATTGTATGCTGATTTTTTGTTGAATAGATTTGAGCGGTTCAAAATTGTGGGTCGCGATTTATTGACAAGGAAAAAAGTGGGTCCCGAGGCCTGACCAGTTGAGAACCACTGCTTTAGAGTACATTGCATGTGCGTGCATCATAATCCCATGCAGTCCAATGGCTCTGCATCTATTTGATTTTCTTTGCAGCTATATCTATTTTACATAATCAAGAGGAAGTGAGAGAAGATGCAGCCGTTAACTGTACAGAGAAGTTTAATCACTGGAAATGTTCTCCATGTGCCTTGTAAGAATAAATCATCTTCACTATCCCTGGTAAACTATTCTGGTTGCATGTGTGCTGGATGCGTGCACATGCTAACTGTGCTATCCTCTTGCATGATTGCAGGATTACCAGAGTTAACGGCATGTTTTTCTCTCTGTGTCAAAGGTTAAACGAGCATGGGGGCAGATTCCCCTTTGGTTCATTTACTTCAATAAGAATCAAACCTTTAACATGTCCTGTCTTTCAAGAGGAGGTCCCTGATTTGGCTCCCTGTCAAGCCTATAGATTATATAACAATGTTGTGATTCTCTTCACTCTGGCATGGCGAAAACTTGGCACAGTGCTGAGCTAACAAAGGCGATAGCTTGTGTCTAACGAAGCATGGCGCTATTAACTCAACAAGGAAAACATGTTTTCTACCAGAGATACTCTGCTTATGCTGCCTTTGGTAAATCCCCACGGTGGCAGTCTGAATTATTTATAAAAAAAAAGATATGTTTTGAATTACACTGATTTGACCTGTTTCATAATTTGTTATGTTAGAATGTATGCACATGATTCAATTGTACGATAGCTTCTTTACATATTTGAGTGATAAGAACAAGCACTCTGGTTGATCAGTAGCACATTTATGTTGTTCTCAACTCACTTAAATTGCATTGGTTGTAACACAGAATTCGAATGCTACAGATCGCTCTTACCAAAATTAAGAATTGCGCTTTAACAAATAACTTAAAACAACGTAACCTTATCTGGAGGACAGCTCTCTGATCAAACAGATATCACACTGTCTGTATCAACAAACACTAATTGACTCAAGTGTAATTTAAATGCATGCAAGTCTGTAGAATTAAGGCAAGTTTTTAATTAGTAAAGAAGTGACTCCTCTGATGTGTGTGACGCCTGGAGGAGCTATAGAAACAGGATAAAGGAAAATAACTCTGCACGATACTGAGAAACTGTTTTATAATTACTAATGTGGTTCATTAATATGCATGTTTGTATAGTGTGCATATTTAAATTTCAATGTAAAATGAGCAAGCCTAGTGGCCATATTTACCATTGTAAATAAAACCAGATCGCATGCATAATTCTGATATTATGCATATGGTGCATGTTGTATCTAATTGCATGGTGAGTATAAGGTGCTACTGCTTGCTCTCTTATCCATGCTGTTGACTTATTGTTTGCTTTTTTAATTAAAAGTCAAAGCTAAGGCGCACTGACATTGGAAGAGAACTTTTGACCTCGAATACCTAATTTTTATAAAGTAAAACTTCATATTTCCCCAACCTTAAGCTGTTAGAATATAAGATTCTCTTAACATGAAAGCTGTGCCGCCCTTTGCTCTTGCTTTTGCTGGATGTGCAAGAGGATACAAGTTGGCATTGGTGAAGACTGGCAAGTGACGACGATATTTCTCCATACAAAATGATGACTCCTACCACAGGGAGGATCATGTCACTCTTATAGTGATGCACAGTTGTTTTCAGTATGCACTCATGATATCCTCACAGCCCCTCTACGTGTTGAAATTCTCGAAGTTTACGTCTACCACCCACCTGGCCATCTCTAGGAGAGCAGGTGAAGTATTTCACTTTCCTCTTGACCTTCTTGTGGTTTGTTGGTGAACATAGCTCGTGTTGGCCTTGTGTTGGCCTAAAGGCGCATGAAGGATTTTTAAGGCAAATATTAACTCATGAAACAAATTACTGCATGAAAACTCCAGGGACTGTTCCTTTAGAGCAAGGTCACTTACAGATTTCCTTGAATGCATCATTAGGTTTGGTCACACAAAGTAAATATGCATTGTGTTTCTTCGTACATGTGCTGCATGGGTCACTGGCTTTACATTTAAAAGTATTCCCTCAGTACCTCAAGCATCTCTAAAGAGAGCAAAGCTGATCGATTTTGGCCATAGAATTTTCTCTCTGACTGACAACTACATTGACGATCGATGATAAATATTTCACTTAATGATTTTATAGTTTAAGATTCTCCAGTAAAAGCCAGAATGAGCATAGATGTTTTATTTGCAAAGAGTGTTTACATGACACATTGCATCCAGTTTATTTAAGATTGGGATCTGGCATGATTGCATTTACATTTTTTTAGTGCATGCTAACTCTGATTATTAAAGCTAACAACGATGGCTCTGACAGGATGCAACATAATAAGTCACAAGTCAAATACTATGTTGTGTACTACTTTATTCCAATGCCTCATAATTTGTAATGATGATATGTTGTGGTTATATGTGTTTTGTACAGTAAATATATCTAAAAATTATAAATGAAATGAATTAAAAATATTTTTCTACTGGAATCTAGAGAGGTAGAAATTTAAAGTAGCATAACATCATACAGTTAATAATTGTACTTGAATAGTTGCTGAGATTTCCGCTGATACTAACACAAGGTATGTTGCATCTTCTATAATATCCTCTTGTATCTTCTAATTTTTGAATGGGGTAAGTAATATAATATAAGATAAGATAGTTAACAAGTCTATTAAATGACCGCATAATAATTGAATGTGGAGTTGTGCAGTGGTTTTGTAAATAATATTGTGCATGCTCCAGCGTGTTATCTAAGCTCTGATATGATGCTGAGGCTGACTGCGTTACTATCTCACTTTGTGCAACGGTGAAACTGTTTGCACAGCAAGCAGATCTCATGGCTCCTCCCCCTGTGCAGGCTGTTTAATTCCCTAGAGGTGATGCCCTGCTAGGAACTTAATAAAGCTGTTGGATTCAATCCCGGGGCACAATGTGTGGATCATGTTTATCTGACAGACCTGCTCTCTTCTCCAATCCTGCTCTCACACAGCCTGCTGCTTTTCTGTAAGTACTACAGGGTCACACAGCCATTTCAACTTTCAGATGTGATCAAGGGAAAGATGTCTCGGCTGCTGGAATAACTCACCAGGACTTATGACAGAGAACACAGCACACACATACAGGACAGAGAGAGTGAGAACAAATTGCATTGGGTGAGTTTTAGCCTTTTGAACTGGGAAAACAAATGAGTAAAGATATCAAACTTCTTTGCCTTGGAGGTCTGCTGATATTTCATTGTGTGTTAAACAATTATCTGAATGTACATTAACCGAGCAGATGCACAAATGTATGCTAATGGCGTTCTCCTTATCCTTGATAGTGAAAAATGTAAATGTACAGTATCATCCATCCTGGTTCAATGATTGACAGCAATTAAACAGTGTATGCTTTGACTGTAAGGGCGATCATTTGCCCCTGTACACAATGTTTAAAGAATGCTTTGTATGGCATTTTGTGATGGAAAGTCACTGGCTTATATCCCAAGTGGAGTTATAAATGTTGTGCCCAGAGGCAGCCATGCTGATAGGGTTCAGTAAACTTCCAGCCAAATGCACACACCAGGAATACAAAAGTAGGTTAATCATTTTGCTCATTATTCTTTTCGCCAGGAGGTTCCTGTCCTGGTGTAACTGTCAGAGCATAATGGTGGCATTTAAAGGGATCTGGACCAAGGACTTCTGGAGGGCTGTGTCTGGAGAATACCTGGCCACTCTCATCTTTGTCCTTCTCGGTCTGGGCTCCACCATTAACTGGGCTGCAGGCGAGGAGAAGCCTCCCCCGGCTGACCTAGTCCTTATCTCCCTGTGCTTTGGCCTGAGCATCGCCACTATGGTGCAATGTTTTGGTCATATAAGTGGCGGACACATTAACCCCGCGGTCACAGCAGCGATGGTTGTTACTAGAAAGCTGAGCCTGGCCAAGGCGTTATTCTATGTGCTGGCTCAGTGCCTCGGGGGTGTCACAGGAGCTGCGATCCTCTACCTAGTCACACCTGCTGCTGTCAGAGGGTCCTTCGGTGTGACCTCGGTAAGAACCTGACCATTTCTATTTATGTGTGTATAACTTTACAGTTAAAGTTCATGAGGTAAATGTTCTGTTTCCAAGGTGAACCCCAACATCTCATTGGGACACGCTCTTCTTGTGGAGCTCCTAATCACATTCGAACTGGTCTTCACTGTGTTCGCCACCTGTGACCCTAAACGCTCAGACCTCGGAGGCTCTGCTAGCCTTTCCATTGGCTTTGCTGTAGCTATCGGTCACTTATTTGCTGTAAGTACCTTCCAGTCAATCAGATAAGAAATCTTGAATGAGGTAAGAAGGAAAGGTGAATATTTCTACTGTTGCAGTGATTGTTATAGAAGTTCATATTTGGCCTCTTACCCTATTGTTATGTTCGAAAATTCTTATACCTCCAGCATCTAAATGACATAGAAACCCTGAAGTACTTTCCCAACATGTATATTCCTACAATTATATTAAAACCTACAATACACCAAACTTAGACATTTTATGCAACCACATATACTATTAGCTGACACATCCTGTGCTCCAAATCCTGGAACAATGATTAAAAGATTCATCTGAAAAACAAATTCATCACTCCACTTTAAAGAATACAAGACTAGTTACAAGTGCAAGCCTCTTTAGCATGTGCTGAACGCTGGAGAAAGATGCTTCTTGAGAAAGAGCAGGCGCATCAAAGCATCTCTTCTTCTTTGTGTGATATTGTACGCTTCTCGCTGATTCACACCCACGTGCACGTCTTTATTGGAGGCTGCCATCGCATAGCAACCAATCTCTGGGGGCTCCCTGAACCCTGCAGAGCAAATGAATGCACAGGGAAATAGATGTTATCTCTTGCACTGCTCTATGGATTTTCTCCCCGGGTCTGTTTAGCAAATACATATATACATACATACAGAATACTGTCCTGTGTTAGACGTATTTTTGCAGTATTAGACATGTTCTGTAAGTCAAAGTAGCACAGCATCATACCTAAAAAAATATCTGATAATGTTATGTTATGATGTTTGATCAATTGCACTTAAACCAATGCTGTTATGTGTCTTCTAGATCCCTTTTACAGGAGCCAGCATGAACCCTGCTCGATCTTTCGCGCCTGCACTGGTCACTCTTAACTTTGAGAACCACTGGGTAAGAGATACTTGCTTAAAAGGATTATATTTCGTCCAGGAGTTTGCATGGCGAAATTTACCCAGATAGTGTCTGCGTAAGTTCGGCTTGCCATTTATTCAATGTAGTACTCAAGTATAATATATCAGTTCACTGCTAATTTTATGTCATGGTAACATGTAAAAAATGCTCTTAAATTATTGAGAATATAAAATGATGATGACCTGCAGAGAGTAAGCTCTTCAGTAGACTAACAATGTTGAAACCTGGTAAGGTCGCATTTCCAACACCATTGCCAGAGCAGTGAAAACAGCTGTCACCTAAAAATATAATCAAAGAATGGTATTACACTTATATCACTGAATGCAAAGAGAAAATCTGGAAAAAATTGAACATATGGCCCTTTAATATTTGACTTCACCTAATGAAGAAAGTGCCAACAAATCTCACAAACTTACAGCATTTTCATCCTCCAGCTACATAATGAGATACATACTGAAAGAGGTGTAAAATAGCATTAGCGCTGAATTTTTGTATCCTGGCAATTATTTCCACTGAGCTATTTGCAGACAACATGGTGTCAATGATGTGTGTGTGTGCGTGCGTGCGTGCGTGTGTGTGTGCGTGTCGTGTGCGTGTGTTTAAGGAGATGTGCTTAGGCTTAACACTGGCAGTAACTGTCACTGTGGCTGGTATCATATTCAGAAGTGTCCTTTCTTGGAGGCAAATGCAGGAAGCTACAGATACTGATCTACCTGCTTCTTATGCAGGTTGACCCTGTTTTTCCAAATCTGCAGCGGATCGAAAGCAGTTTTAATAGCGATACCAGTGCCACTTTTTATAGATTTTTAATAAATCATCTCCCATGGGTAGAAATGTAACTGCTGGCTAATTGAGGTGTTTGTTATTGCAGGTGTACTGGGTGGGACCCATACTGGGTGCCATACTTGCTGCTGGCCTGTATGAGTACCTGTACTGCCCTGACCCTGAGACGAAGAAGAGGCTGAAGCAGGTCTTCCAGAAGGACCCGTCAGGAATATACCGGGAGGTGGAGACAGAGGACATTGTCATCAAGCCGGGATCCATCCACACTATTGATCTGGAGAAATCTGAGAAAAAGGATCCATTCCTGGACTCGACGAGAGAAGTTCTGTCTTCAGTATGACTATCACGTGCACTGGAAATGGAGACCAATCTGTAGAGCACATTGACAATCAAACGTTGGAGGATCCATCTTGAGCTTGCCCCCTACAAAGCAGAAAATAATTTCTGTCCATGAGGCCTTACAGCAAGTCTAAATTACTCTCATTGTCATAAAACAAATATGATGTTATGGCTCAATCCCACAAACATCTACAAACTGTTCAATACTCCTCCTGAAGCCCTCCTTTAATGATTTGTTGTAGCGGTGTTGGCATGTGGCGCACATTGAACGCTGAAGAAAGACGGTCCGCAATACATTGTGGAAGAGAAATATGTGTGAGGTCAACCAATTATGTGGGGTCATCACGCTGAATTGGAGAAGTGAAGAAGAAAATGCAGGCTTGTTATTTTTGGATTAGTGTCACATTTGGTCCATGTACTTTATATTTAATAACAGGAGAGCATTTTCTTCTAATCATTAAGCACATTACAGGTCCCAAGCAACGTAAGCAGTTCTGACAAACTTTATTACCAGGGGTTTTATTACAGTGCTCTCTATTTTCAGTGCATTAGTCAGGGAAAAAAGTAGTGCATGGACATAGAAACACTTTTTGATGTTTATTATGATTATTGCTACATGATGATTTTATTTTTTCAATATCGTAAGAAATGTGATTGTTAGCTGTTGTTATTTTATAGACCTAGATTATCTTCCTTTAGCACATTTCACATTTCACTTTATTTCAAACACAAGTTTTAACTTGTTATTGAGATGTTTGTCTGATGTCTTTATGATTTTGCGTTTAGCTAGGTTCTTGTTTTAAGCTCACACACTTGAATTGCTAGAATACGTAAAAGATCTACATCTTCATTACAATCAAAAATAAATCTAGTGACCATCCCCAAAAGGCTTTTCACCTGAGCTACTTGTTGCTGATCGTAGGAGCTGGGCACTGGGGAGCGGAAATGTTCAGATCAATGATGGATTGGCTCATCTACCTTAGATGATGTCTCCCTATGGCCAGATAAATGTCCAGGATGTGTGATCCTTGTGAGTTAAGTCTCTGAGAATAGCTTCATGTAATCTCATTCCATCAGCAGATAGCACAGGAAATGATACCACTTTGTGATCCGAAATAGGAGTAATCTGTTTTGTCTGAGGTTTATTTCCTTTTCTGAAAGAACAGGTGCAATTCAATTTATTGTTCTGTAATGTAGAGGAAATGATCAGCTTCACTGACCTACTGCATCAACTGGTGTTGTCTACATGCTGCAACTATATTGGGTTTTCAAGGCCACAACGCCAGTACATTTCAGATACTGAATCAAAATTGTTTTTACTCCTACATTGACTCACTTCCCCTATTTCACCTTTCTCCCTATGTAAATGCAGTCTTTATATGTGACAACAGCATCACCTACTGGCCACAATGTGAACCACCTGCTCTGCAATAATGTTCCTATTTGTATTTCTCCAGGGGAGGGCACCCAAGAGCCTTGGATGTACAGGTCTCACTGCAACCATGGGAACACATAAGTCAGTTGTATTCTTAAAGTCTTAGCCACATTTCATTTGGAATTGTCAAAGTTTTTTATTCAGAACTACACAGAAATGATACGTGTTGCACTATAACATTACATGTTACTTGTTGTTAGACACTTTTAAACAAAGCGACTAACATACTGTGGACAATCCCCACAGGAGCAATTTGGGGTAAAGTGTCTTGCCCAGGGACACAACAACATGCTGACTGCAGTGGGGTTTGAACCTGTGACCCCTTGATCCGAACACCAACGCTCAACCCACTGCACCACACAGCTCCCTAACATTACCCCAGTACTTCAATTGAAGCCCAAACTCATAGTGAAATCGTTTTTAACTCAACCTTGGACATCTTAGAAATGTTGACCCTTTTTTTACTTGAAATGGATCCTGGCTGTTTTTCACAGATTTAACTCTTGAATAATAGTGGTGTGAGATTGTTTCTGTTAACAAATTCTGTTCTTCACGGCCTACTGGGGTTCAAAATGCACATCACTGTGTTTCTACGCAGCACTGTCCTTTACCTGCAGGCAGGCTACTTATATCGCTCAAGGCTTCAGTGGCTCAAGGCCAACAACCTCTCAGCTCCCTTTAATCATCTTTATAGCCCAAATTAATGAGTACATAAATCTGATGCTTCATGCATTAACTATTTCCTCTTGGGACAGAGGATGGTGAATGGGCTCACTGACTCTGTATTGATTTATTAGCCTTTGCTCATCTGGGCCCAGGAGTTCAAAACTTTTAATCCCTATCTGATCAGATCAGATTTGGATTTAGGGGAGTTCAAAACCAAAAAACAGGATTAGGATCACTTTGATATCCGATCAGATCAGGAAATCCAATCCAAGCTTTAATCTGGATCAAATCTTCAAAACGGGTAGTTCAAACCGACAACACAGGATTGGGATCAGTTTGATCCCAAAAAACTGGATTATCCTGATCCCACCAGAGGGGTGGATTTCCTGGGCCCAGGAGTTCACAATTTTTTATCTCAATCAGATCCGATCAGATTTTGAAATCCCATTTTTTGTGATCCAGGATCAGACAAGTCGGCCAGATTTTGTCCCTGGAGTTCAAAGCAATTCAGGATAGGATCAGTTTGATCCAGATTACGATTTTTCAAGATTACTAGATCCTGAATATCAGTGCTTTAATCCTACCGATCGCCATCTAGTGGACATGAAAAATAATACAAGGAAGACAAGAGACCACATTGCAGACATCTATTGTCCGCAATTACTTTTGAAAGGTGATGACAGATGATGGACTTTTTTTTTTTTGAAGATATTTTTTCTTTAATCTAAATTACATTTGTGATTGACAATCTTTGTTGTGATACTTTCATGAGCATAAACATTTATGTCATCAACATTTGGTTGAAAACAAAATAGGCCACCACAAACGTGAACAAAAAATGAAAAATAAAATTGATTTGCCATGAAGGCTAAAAATTGTGTATTATTTCAGTTAACAAACTTTGCCATTTTATTTATATTGAAACATATTTTTAAATAAATGGTACAGTAGGCCTACATTTTGCTCTGGTAATCCACTGGAAATCCACCCCTCTGGTGGGATCAGGATAATCCAGTTTTTTGGGATCAAATTGATCCCAATCCTGTGTTGTCGGTTTGAACTATACCGTTTTGAAAATGTAATCCAGATTAAAGCTTGGATTGGATTTCCTGATCTGATCGGATATCAAAGTGATCCTAATCCTGTTTTTTGGTTTTGAACTCCCAAAAATCCAAATCTGATCTGATCAGATAGGGATTACAAGTTTTGAACTCCTGGGCCCTGGTCCCTGGAGTTTAAAGCAATTCAGGATAGGATCACCCTGATCCAGATTACGATTTTTCAAGATGACTAGATCCTGAATATCAGTGCTTTAATCCTACCGATCGGATCAGATAGGGATTCAAAGTTTTGAACTCCTGGGCCCTGGAGTTCAAAACTTTGAATCCCTATCTGATCTGATCAGATTTGGATTTTGGGGAGTTCAAAACCAAAAAACAGGATTAGGATCACTTTGATATTCGATCAGATCAGGAAATCCAATCCAAGATTTAATCTGGATCAAATCTTCAAAATGGGTAGTTCAAACCGACAACACAGGTTTGGGATCAGTTTGATCCCAAAAAACTGGATTATCCTGATCCCACCAGAGGGGTGGATTTCCAGTGGATTACCAGAGCAAAATGTACTCTACAATTTATTTTAAAATATGTTTCAATTTAAATAAAATGGCAACGTTTGTTAACTGAAATAATACACACTTTTTAGCCTTCATGGGAAATACATTTAATTTTTTCCATTTTTGCTCACGTTTGTGGTGGCCTATTTTGTTTTCAACCAAATATTGATGACATAAATGTTTATGCTCATAAAAGTATCACAGCAAAGATTGTCAATCACAAATCTAATTTTGATTAAAGAAAAAATATCTTGAACAAAAAAAAAGTCCATCATCTGTCATCACCTTTCAAAAGTAATTGCGGACAATAGCATCTCGCCTTGCACCACCACTCAGTCTCTAATTTAGAGGGAAATCCATAGGTGGGCCTAGATCATCAGCAGGTGCGAGGGGCTCTGGGGGATCATCGATGTCAGAGAGGGGGACTCTGCGATGGACAGCGATATTGTGTAGCACAATACAAGCCAGTTTTATTTGGCATGCTCCTTGGAGTTCCACTCTCAGATAGTTGAGGCATGCAAAATTCAAGCGCTCAATGGCACACCTTGTTCTTCCATGGGCGTTGTTGTAGCGCATCTGTGAGGGAGTGTTGGCCGTGGGAAAAGGTGTAATCACCCATGGTAGGAGTGGGTAGGCACTGTCGGCTAATATAACTCCATCCGGCCTGTTGGTTTGGAATTCAGTGAACAACCGGCTCTCTCTGAAGATACGTGCATCGTGGACTGACCCAGGCCATCTCACAACACAGTTGGTGATGGCAAGGTCAGCATCTCCCACAAGTTGCACATTGATGCTGTGCCTCCCTTTCCTGTTGACATATTCCCACTACCTCTGACGAGGTGCTTGAATATGTACATGGGTGCAGTCGATCACCCCAATGGTGTTGGGCATGTCTCCCAGAAGAAAAAACTTCTGCTTCACTTTGGCAATCTGGCCATCAGTGGGAAAAGTCACAAAGCAGGCGAGCCAGTGCATCACACACAGCTGTCACCACTTCACCCACTGTTGTCCTGTGGACTTCCATGCTGTCAGCTATGACCTCATAGAATGTTCCACATGTGTAAAAGCGCAGGGCAATGAGGACCTGTTCCTCTACAGTGAGAGCATGACTCCGCAAGGTTCGGCACTGCAGTTGTGGCCTGACCAGATCGCCAATGTAGTTGATGTCATCAAGTCCAAATCGAAAACGATTGTACAGTTCTTCTGCTGTGTACTGTTGGAGAGATTTGGGCCGCTCGGTGTGGACCCTTTGGCGGTAACCTCTCCTTCCAGCATGGAAGATGTGTCTCTTGTCTTCCTTGTATCATTGTTCATGTCCACTAGATGGCGATCGGTAAGATTAAAGCACTGATATTCAGGATCTAGTCATCTTGAAAAATCATAATCTGGATCAGGTTGATCCTATTGCTTTGAACTCCAGGGACAAAATGTGGCCGACTTGTCTGAGCGGATCTGATTGAGATTAAAAGTTTTGAACTCCTGGGCCCTGAAGATTAAAATAAGGGAAGGCAGGTGAGGAGAGCAGTACCTGTTGGATTTGAAATTAGGTTTTGTTATGAATGTCATATTAGTGACTGAGAATCCAAATATTTGTATGCGTCTGTGTTCATACAGAGATAGACATTGGTGAAATTCCATGTAATGCATTTTAATATTCTTGCATAAACGAGCAAAGTGCCAATCATATCCCAAAATGTTATGAGAAAAATGTCCTCTCTGTGAGAAACATCCAAAGGCTTGCTGCAGACATGTCAATTAGGACAAGGCAAATAAAATGTGACAGCAAATGATAGACCATCACTTTTTTAAGCTGTCTGTTTGTTAACATTGTGGCTTATCAGTGAGAGGTTGAGCAGAAAACTGATAATCCATGGACAGCCTTCACAGTTGCTGCCTCCATAATTCATAAATCTACATTCACAGTCATTGCAAATACCAACAATGCCTATATGATGGGATTA